TGATTTGCTTAGACAAATTAACCAGAGGCAGAGCCAGATGAGGGGCCAGCTCCTTGGCTCTCAGCCCAAGGCTTACTCCCCATGGCCTGCTGTCCTCAAGCCGGGAGCCCAGAGCAGCTGGGAGAATCAGCTGCCACAGCCTGGCCCTGGCCTGGGCACAGACCTGGGCTGTATCATACAGTAGCCTCATGAGCCTACTGAGCACTTGAAAAGTGACTAGTCAGAACTGAGATATGTAATACGTGTAAAATCTACATCCAATTTCAGACACTTGGTATGAAAAATGTAAAATATCTCAACCATTTTTATACTGATTACCTTGAAATGAGAATATTTGGGTTATGTTGGATTAAAGGAAATATATTGCCAAAGTTAACTGCACCTATTTTCATTTGAATGTGGATAGTGGGATGTTTTAGGTTAAGTAAAAATAGTACAGGCAGTACAAGAATATGTCAAGATTTGTGGCTGTTTGGGGACGGACTGAGGTCTGGTAAACACCGCTGAACCGGCTTTGTTTTATAGGAATGGGAACAGGCTCAAATTAAGGAAGGGATTTATCCAGGGAGCATGAGTTCAGGTTCTTGTGTGGCGCCCGGCTCTCTGGCAGGGTGCTAGCCAGTACCTCTCTCTGGCATTTTCCTATTCTCAGCTTCGGGTCACAGGTGTGCCCGTGTCCAGGAGAGAGACTGACAGGCCTGGCCCTGGTGAGGCCTGTGAGATTGGCTGCCACGGGAAAATCAATGGGGAGAGGTGGGACAAATTCGCTAAGGAACCAGGGTGACGGAAGGCACTGGGCTGCAGAAGCTGGCTAGGGATGCTGGGCAGGCAAAAAATGAACAATGTTCCCTGCAAGCGTCCCATAGCCTGTCAGTGACTCAATCCTCCTCACCCCCAGGTCAATGCTCTTCTCCACACCTAATGAATCTTACTAAAGACTTGAGTGACTCCTACTTCGATGGTTTCTGCCTCTCCAGATTCCACCTGCCCAGAGTCCCAGCCGTCTTGGTCCAGTAACTGTGCGCCAGAGGAGAGCTGGGTTTGGGCAGTAAGGGAGGCCAATCTGGGATGGGATATCGGGTCACGCTCTCTGCTTTGTTTCCAGGGCTCTTCAGGGCTTTGCCCAGAGGCCGGAACCTAGGAAACCAGGAGGGCACCTGGGGAGCCAAGAGACCTAAGGATTTCGTTGGCAGAAACATATCCCAACCAGGAGCAGGGGGCATGGACCACAGTGAGGGGTTCATCCAAGCCCCAGCCGGTACCACGGTGCCTCAGGAACTGCTGGAAGAAATGCTTTGGTTTTTTCGGGTGGAAGATGGTAAGTGGTGGGGCATCGGGGAGTGGGGGGATATGCGCCTCAGCACAAAGAGTGGAATCTGGCTGAAATCCCCCTCCTCCAGTGCCGGCTGCACATTTCCCCCCAAGGTGGGGATTGAGGCAGAGGGGGGTCTTAATTCCCAGAGGGGTCTGGCCTCACCGCACCCTCTTCTCAGGATGTGGTCATTCATTTTCTTCATTTATCGGATCATTCACAAATATTCATTAAGTTCCTTCTGCGCACTGGGCACCGTTCTCAGCAGTGGGCTTACAGTATGAATGAAGCACAAAAGTCTCTGCCCTCCGTGCAGCACACATTCTAATGAGAGAGAAAATCAACAAGGCAAACGACTAAAATGCAGAGCATGTGGGTGATGAGCAATACGGAGAAAAATTAAGCACAGAGAGGGAAGAGAAGGGTAGGTACCACGGTCAAGGAAGGCCTCACCAAGAAGCTGACATTTGAATAAGGGCTTGCAGGAGATGAAATGATGAGCCCCACAGATTATGTGGGGGAAGAGCATTCCTGGTAAGGGGAACAGCAAACGCAATGGCTCCGGGGCTGGATCCTGCCTCATTTTGGTACGGTGTGGACACATCTCATTATCCAAATTCAGATTGGCCACTTTATGTATTCTCTGTTGGCAGTTGTTGGACACAGTTTCACTGCCACCCCTTCCCCCTCCCCTTAGATTAGGGCTTCTGCAGAGCAGAAATTGTCCCTCCCTCTCCCCCTCCCCCACACTGGAGGTCCCGCAGGGCAGGGGCTCATCTTCGTTTGTCTCTACAACACCTGGCTCACAGCAGGGGATGACTGATGCCATGAGCTGAGTCTGAGCCCAAGCCCCAACTGTTAGTGGGCCTGAGGGGCACCCAGCCTCTCCTCAAGGCTCTGTTCCGTGTGTCCTTCCCCAGCATCTCCTTGGAATTATTCCATCTTTGCCCTGGTGGGCGTGGTGGGCGTGATAAGCTTCGTCCTCCTGGGAAGGAGCATCCAGGCAAAGAGGTGAGGAGCTGGTCTGGGGGTGGTCTCTGGGGGGCGGGGGACCTGCCCTCCCAAGGGAAATCTAGGGAGCGGTCATCTAGGGGTCTTGGCCAGCCACCCTTTGGGACGGCAAAATGCAGCCTTATAGACTTTACACTTTGGTGGGGAGACAAGTGTAGTTTAGAGTGACAGATGCTCAGTGTGGGAGATACAGAGTGTGTGGGAGCACCGTGGTGGGATCTGGGGCCTTCTGGGCAAAGAAAGAAAGGGAGAGTGGGCTGAGGAAGCCTTCTAGACTGAGGGACAATAGGCACCAAACTTGAGGTGCTGGAGGAGGAGGCCTGGCCCATATGGCTGTGGAATGTGACGTGGCATGGGGGTGGAGGGAGGGCAAGAGGAGGGAAGGACCCAGGATGTATGGGTCCCAAGGAATTCAGGTTCTAGCTCATGGGCATCGGGGAGCCAGAGAATGGCTTTGCACAGGGACATGAAAGGTCTGTTTTAGCAAGATTAGTCTGGATGTAGGGTATAAAATGAACCAAAGGGGTGTAGCTCCTAAAAATGTGACCTTGCCTTTCTTAACCTGTCAGGAAGCATCGCCCTCAGCAAGGTCAACTCAGGGACAAAGTGGCTGTCCATGGGAGCAGCAGACACTGAGCTGCTCCCCCTGTGGCCCGAGCAGATTCTCTGGGCAGTCAGCCGTTACCACAGCTGGGTTCCTCCACAATGGCCAGGAAGCCTAGGGGTACCCTGAGTAAGACCACCTTCGGATGGAGGACACTTGGGGGAGTTACTGGAAGAAGGGTTGGGTCTTGAACACCAGCTTAAGGACATGGGCAGTGGGGAGCCACTAAAGGTGCTTGACCCGAGGAGTGATGTGGACACACTGAGGTTTTAGAAACATGACTGCTGTGTGTGGGCTGATTTGGAAAACCAAGCACCTAGAAGCGGGAAGATTAGTTAGGAACTCCCTGAAGTAGTTTGGGGATGAGGTGGATGAGAGTGGGAATGGGCATAGAACCCAGAGTCGGGAGTCTTAAATGCATGTCCAAGGTATGTGCATCTTTGACCTTTGTGAACCCCGTTTCACCCGTAAGGGGAGCAAGGGGTGAGAACAGTTGAGCTCATGGTGGCAATGAGGATTTGCTGAGATGATACACGGACGAGAATAAGCCATTTCTCTGCCAAAAGAACACCAAACTATCTTGGCTTTCTCCCCTAACAGTTCCCAGGACTGCCTACTGGGTCCCCCCGCCCCCCAACCCGCTAATCTACTCGGGAGACCCAGTCTTGCCCCCAGTCACTCAGTACCCCAGCTCAGAGAACCCAGATTCAACAGTGTTTTCTCTCCTCCCAGAAATCAAAAGCTCCTGGGGAAAAACAAACCAGAACTCCAAGACTTGGCTGAGGCTGAAACCAGAGAGGACAATAACCTGAACATCCTAAAAGAGACTTTGCTCTCAGAAAAGCACAATTTAGCCCAGGTGGAAATTGAGTTAAAAGAGGGAGATGCGTCACTGGCTCTCCTTCCAGACCCACAAGAATCGGAGACCTAGTAAGAGTTCAGAGCCCTGCCCCATGTTGCCAGCAGATAAGATGAACGAACTGCAATCAAACTGATACTCTGTTATGGGGGGAAAAAAACCACTTTTATTAAAAGGCTTCTGGAAGTGGGCATTTAGAATTGCATAGTTTGTTCAAACGGCCGTGTTCTAACACAAGCGGCTTGGAGCAGGAGCAAGAACTCCATAGCCAGCCCGTGGGTCAGGAAGCCTGGCTAGGACTCCTCGTGTGGTCTTGAGGAGTTCACAGCCTCCCTCTGACCTCAGCTTCTCCATCCACAGAATGGGGCTGAAGGCCGGGTTAGCACTGTTGTTCTTAACCCAAGGTCCCGGAATTGCCAAGAACAGGATTCCGGGCTCAGAATCCCCTTCACACCCCTTTCCTCCTAGCAGAGCCCTCTCCTTTACCTGCTTATCTGCTGAGGGCCCACGAGAGACTTCCTTTGGGCCAGAGGCCCCAAGGTAAAGAGAGTTAGAAAACTATGGAACTCCCCGTGCTGACAATGGGATCCCAAGAGAGTGTCCTGATCCTGTGTCTGAGCCACAGTGTTGTTGTATCAGCTGCAGTGGTGACCCCAAATAATTTATGCAAAAAATTGCTTTCTGAACCCCAAATGCCTTAGCTTCTATCTTTCAAAAGTGGACTTAGAACACTCAGACCCACTGTCGAAGGTACTGGGTCCTGCTAGACTAGACTACAGATGGCCTACTGTGTTTCTACCGATGAGCCTCAGGCGGGCTAACAGTGCCCACTGGGTGTCTGATACCCCCAGGTGTAGGCTCCCGGGAGTCCTGGGCACTGGTCACTAGAGAGAATGACTTTGTTCTGCAGCTCTGATCATTAAACTTCAGGAGGCTGGTCCTGAGGGTCTGTGGAGAGAGTCCTGAATTTAAGATGGGAAAATAAGGGGGCACTGTCTCCCGGGGGAAGAAACATTGGAGGCTCCTTATCTCAGATGATCCAGAGCTCCCAGTCCTCACCGAAAGGTAAAGTACTGGAAATAGCCCTTCCTGGGAATTTTGCTTCTCACAGCCTGTCCAGTAGGATTATTTAAACCGTGGGGTTTGTTGCCTGGGGCATCTGTGAAGTCAGAGGACAACAGGAGGGCCAGGCTCAATGCCCCCCCCCACCCCCAACTTGTAGCCGCTCTGTCCTTCCTGCCCACCAGGGGGTGCTAGGACCTCAGGGTTGCTCCTCCTGCAGCGTGTTCTGGGGCCTACACTTAGGGACCGTCCGGAGCTGTCCCCTAGGGGCCACATCTGGCCTGGCTGCAGCTGGAGCACGAAGGAGTGATGGCCCCACGATGGACGCTGCAATTTCCTTCCACTTCAGGCTGACCCCAGTCCTCCGGGTTGCCTCAGTGGCTATTTCCCTTCAGGGTCAGGGAATGCAGTGGCTACCATGGAAACCAAGGCCTGGAGCGAGGAAGAGCAGCGTTCCTGCCCATCCCTCCAGCTCACACAGTGAACTGGGTGTCCGGGACATTACTTGGTGCTGGAAAAGGGGTCAGCTGTCCGCCAGGGGGCCAGGGCTATTGACCAGTCAGAGGGAGAGCCCCGCCCAGCTGCTGAGCCCGGGATCTGGAGGGGTGCCCTCAGAAGATCTTGAAGCCCTTCAACAGGGTCAGGGCGGGCGCCTTGCGCTTGCTCTGGGCCCGGGATGACTTCACAGTGACCAGCTTGGCCTGGGCCACGGCAGGCATCTCCTTCAGGCTGACGGTGGAAAGTGTGTTGAAGGTACAGCTGGCCAGCCCATGCCGGGCGGTGAGCGGAGCCTGGTGGGGCAGGGCCCTCTCCTCAGAGATGAAGAGGGGCCGGGGCAGGGAATGCTTCTCCAGCTCCCGTCGTGCCTCCCGCACGGCCTCGTGGAAGACATGCTGCACGTGCTCAAAGTCCAGGCAGGCCGAGACCTCGAAAAACAGGCACCCGAACTTGCCCGCCAAGGCGGCGCCCTCTGCCTTGGTGACCTGCCTGGTGGGGAAGCAGGGCGAGGCAGGGTCAGGAGCGAGCGTCCGAGTCGGGGAGGCCCGCGCCTACACTCGTTTGCCCACTCATGGGCTTGGTGACCTGCAGTCATCTCGTGAGTACGATGGGATAATGACATCTGCCTCCCAGGGTTGTTAAAAGAATTAAGAAAGACCATTTGTATCGTGTGCCTGGTGTAGTACGTGGCACAGAGTCCGTGCTCAATAAATGGTGGCTGATGTCACCAAAGCAGAATTTAGGAACAAAGCATGGGCAAGGGAGCAGCTTACTGGCTAGGCCCTGCTTGTGGCTGGAAGAAGATGGTCATTCCCAGCCCTGCCTCCCTCTAGGCCAGCATGGGTCCTTGGTCAGGAAATGAGCCACCCTCAGCCCCAGCCTGTGGGATCAGTTCCAGAGAAAGGCAGTGGCCTGGATGGAAAGGTGTGAGACCACAGAGGAGGGGAGGGTGAGGCGCCTCAGGATGCCTGCGGTTGGCAGAGTTCTCAGGGCTCATGCGGAGAGTTGCCTGCTCGTCCAAGGGAGGGGCAGGGGAGAGCAAGGGTGACATTTCACGGGAAGGAGGAAGAGAAGGGGAGAGGGAACAACACCTATTATCAGCTTCGTCCTATACCCTCTTTCCTGACGGGATCGACTATTTAACTGGGGAGGTCCTAGAAGCTTCTGGCCTGAAAGCCATGGGAATCAAGGTGAGAGGGAAAAGACTGGCTCTTGGGTGGGTCAGATGTCCAGAAGAAGGAAGGGGTGGGGGCACCTGAGGTTTTGAGGCCAAGGTTCCATTGGCTGAATCTTGGAGACCACCCTGCGCTGCCATTCCTAGGGACAGTGGTACAGCCCATGAGACCAGTGGGTAGTGATGGGAAGAGGTTTCTGAGCCAAGGTTAATTTGGCAAGAGCAGGGGTGCTAGCAGTGGGCCAGCTGCCCGGGGGGTAGTATCAGACAGAGAGTGACTGGGACAAAAAGGGCCAGGGGCAGAGTATCTAGACTCCCCACCCAGGGCTGGTGTCCTGGTTTCCTGAGGAAACCTAAGCTCACTGTTTCCTGAGGAACCGTTTTGAAGAAATACTGGATATTATTTGCTTTTATGGCAACCTTGAGTCTAAAAATTTCTCAGTGTGGGGGCTTGAATTCATGGATTTTCAGAAACTAGCACCCCATGCATGCATACATGTGTGTGAATGGGGGAACACAGGCATGTCACATGATCCTCTCTTGTTCTGTTGCAGCCTGGTGACAATTTTATCAGTGATTTGGGAACCACTCTCACCCACAATTTACCATGCTCTCACCCACAATTTACCACGTAGCTGCAAGACAGTCATGGGAGATACACCGATGCTCAGCTACAAGACTGACTGCGCATCAAATCCTGATCCACTACTAGACTGGATCAAAGAACAAAATGAGGGTAAATGGCCACAACTTTCCTTAGAGAATTGAAGCTGCTCTGGCTGAGCCCCGTAATCTTTGTTATTTGCTCCCCAACCATTTTTAGACAATCCCTGTGGCAAAGACTAGGACCAAAACAGTGGTCTAGGTTTTCCCCTCATACTGAAGATAGATTTACCACAACTCAGTCTTCTGACCCCTGTTCCAGGCATTCGTGGGCTCTACGATTCCTCAAAAACCACCTTTCGGTTTTAGGATCACACAACTTCCTTCATTCCCTGGGATGGAATTTGTCTTTGTCTGAGGGCTTGATGGCCTTTGAAGTCTCCTACAGCGGCCCCTCTTCATGAGACTGCACCTCCCTTTCCCACTGCCCATCTGATTTGTTCTGCACCAAAGGTCCCCTCCTGGCTTATCCCAGCCAATGGGCCTTTGGGGTCTGGGGAAGCAGGACTGATTGGCCATGAACAGGGAGAGACAGATGGAAGATGGGTGGAAGGCGCCAGATGTTGAAGGTGGACAGGCCACATGGGACAAATGTCAGTGTTGGGACAAGGGCAGTGGGATTACTCATCAAGTGGGAGCATCGTGCTTTTGGGGGCCAGGCAAACAAGTCGAATGTATGGAGAGAGTGGAGGAAAGCCATGGGGAGTGGTAAGGCCTGAGTCAGCTGGAGAGGGCATACCCCTCCTCAAAGCATTCCAATTCCAGGTCTTTTAAAATACTGTGCTCGCCAAGCAAAATGCTGCAGTGTTTGCTGGTAATCTGCCCTCTGGCCCAGTCGGCTACCTCTAATTCAAGTCCAGCCCATTCTAAGAGAAGCTGCCCTCAGCACGGCCAATGGTTGGAGTGAGCATGGGGCCATGCTTGGGTGAGGTGAGAGCTGGTTGGACCAGACCAGACACCTGACTCAAGGAGCCAATCACAGCCTTTCTTCTCAGAACTGGAATTGGGCACTGAATGATAACCAGCCAGCTATGGGGAGTGAGGACGGAACGTCATATAGACAGGCAAGAGAGGGTGAGGCTGAGAGAGACCACAAAGCCCCATGAGGATGGAAGGAGTGGCTTTCCTGCTTTTAGCGTCCAACTCCTGTGTGGGCCAGAAGCTCTTCCCTTCCTGCCCTGGCCTGTCTGGAAGGCCATGCACACTGTACCCTTTAACCTAAGTTTGCAGGGATTACTTTCCTTAGCAGCCCAATAATCCCCGATGATGACACGCAGCCTTTCCAAACGAGGACAGCGGGCTCCAGAGAGGAGGACACCCCGTCCGCGCTCACCTGTACTGGGCCATGTCCAGCTTGTTGCCCAGCAGCAGGGCAGGGGAGCTGCGCTGTGTCTCCTTGGCGTGCAAAGCCAGCAGCTCCAGGTAGCTGCTGCTGTCCTTGAAACTCTGGCGGCTGTCCATGCTGTACACCACCAGGAAGGCGTGGGCCCAGTTCAGGTAGCGCTCACAGTTCCTGGGGGTGTCCTGGGCGAAGGAGGGAAGCCTCGCTGGGGGTAAAGGCCTTCACCTGAGCTGCTCCATCCCACCTCCCCACTCCCTGGGTCTTTGTATATTGTTCCCCAGCAGGGCCCTTTTCAAAGGGGCACTTCAGTGTGGATTTGGCTTGGTGTGAAAGGAGGCATTGTCTCGGGAGCCTCACTCCCACCACCCAGCCAGAGGCTTGGAGACCTTGGCCTCTGGGGCACAGAGCCAAGACTCTGGCATGGCTGCTACGAGACCCGGCTGTCCCTGGGCACTGCTGGTTTGGGGTCAGGTTGATGGTGCCCCTGGGCTTCTGAGAATAATTGGTATCCAGTCCTGGCAGGGCGTGGTGAGAACAAAGGGGGAATGTGTGTACTGAGGGGACCTGGGCCAGGGGGGGCCTCTGCGTAAAAGTGTGTGCCCCGTCTCCGTATGTGCATGAGCATCAAATCCCAAAGCAGAGGATCTCAGAGCTGACGCCAGCAACCATCAGGTCTCCCCAGGCCCCGTCCCATCCCTTCTCCCTTGGCAAATGAAAAGATTCAGGTCCAGAGAGGTCAGTGCCTCATTCAGGGTCACATAGCAAACTAGAGCTTAACAAGTTTACAAATTCCCATCTGAGGCCTCCACTCTGGGAGCAGGACTTCTCAGGAGGGTGCACTGACTCTCAGCTCTCCATGGGTAATGGGGGTAATTTACCGGGTCTGCAGTATCCATGACCCTCAGGTGGACAGGCTGGTGGTCCACTGTCTCCTCGGAGCTGTAGGTGTCCTCTGCAACAGATGGTCAGCCAGGTCAGAGGCAGGCCAGCCAGAGCTCAGGGGCAGACTGGGTCTGAGACCCAGCCTCCCTGTGCTAGACCCTGGGGGATCTATTCTGGGGCTGGCTGAGTTGGGACAAACTGGAAAGGCCTTGGCTCTCACCCAAATGGAGGACACAGACAGAACCTCCCACCCAGGAGATGCTGCTCTACCTGTCAGGACTCAGAGCATAAGAGGTCAGTCACAGAACACGCCACAGGGGATGGGACTGTGTTCTGGATCCACCCACCAAGCCTACAGGATGGAGTGTGTGGCCCACGGGCTTGGTTAGCAGCAGAGGCCTCTGGAGTTGCACTGCCAGCCCATCCCTCCCAAACCCCAAGCTTCTCCGCCCTCTTCCCTCTGACCACAGTACCTGGCCCGCAGGAAGCCCCCAGTGGGAGAAGGGATGGGGAAAGAAAAGCACACAACATATGGTGGGTGGGTGGGTGGGTGTGCGCGCACATGCGCATGTGTGTGCGACTCCATTCAGAGGTCCCTAAGAAGGTTTACAAATAATTCTTATCAACATAATAGCAGAGAACTCTAGTGTAGTCGAATATTTTAGGTTGGACATGTAGAATCACACCCAACTTCAGCTACCTTTTAGCCACGTGACTTGGCCACGTCATTGCTGTTCTTTTGAGAATCTGTTGCCTCCCTTTACAATGGCCTGCCTCTGACCAGCTCTGTTTCACTGCGTGGCTCAGTCGGTTGAGCATCCAACTCTTGATTTCAGCTCAGGTCATGACCTTGGGGTCCTGGGATCGAGCCCCGCTTTGGGCTCCACGCTCAGTGCAGAGTCAGCTTACCCCACTCCCTCTGCTCCTCCCCCCTGCTCTCTCTCTTTCAAATAAATAAAGTCTTTTTTTTTAAAAAAAAAAAAGTAAAATAGGGATAACATGATAACACTGGCTAAAAGTTTTCCTGATTTTACTCTGTGCCAGGCACTGTGCTAATGCTTGTCCCCGTACCCTCACAGGGCTGTGTGAGGACTGGATGGGCCCCTAGGCACGGGGCCTGGCCCACCATAAATGCCTGGCGAAGGACAGTGGGATTGCGGTGCTCCGAAGTTTACAGGGCAGGTTCACATTCCTAGGTGATTTTGTTTTCTCTTTTGAAATCATTTTAGACTCACGTGGATATTGCAAAATAGTACAGAGAGTTCCTGTGCGCCTTTCCCTCTGCTCCCGGCAATGTTAACACCTTACATAACCATAGCACAGTGATCAAAAGCAGGAAATGGACATTGGTTATATACTATGAACTAAACTACTGACCTTATTTGGATTTCATGAGTTTTCTTTTTCTTTTTCTTTTTCTTTTTTTTTTTTGGTTCTTATGACCTCAAACCTGAGAAAGCTCAAGTGGCCAGGCATGCAAAGAGGACCTCATTGTCATATTGGCCATCATTCTCCCTATCTCCAACCTCCCCCTATGCCACTGGCCCATGTGTGTGAGTGCACTTGGCCGTCACCTTTCCCTGGGTGCCCCCGTGCCCCAAGTAACCCCAAAGAAGACCTCTCTGGGCAGAACTGGGGCTCTCTCTGCCTTCCTCCACCACCCGCCCCCAACCCTGGCTGAGTTCACAACCACTTGTCTCTGAGAGCCCCTGGCAGTCAAGCCAGGCCTGGACACATGCCAGGTCCACTAGCAGCCAGCAGGAATCACAGACAGCTCCCATCCCCAGCCTGTGTGGGGACTTGGATAAATAGCTGCTCTCTGTCAAATACAAAAAAAAAAAAAAAAAAAAAAAAAATCTAATGGAAAATATGCCCCAAACGTTTAACTATATTTGGTGCAAGAAGAGCTGCCCCTAGATGCCTACATCTTGTTCAGATTTTTCTTTATTTTTCTGCCAAAGTTGCCCGATGTACCCCTTTTAGTTGCTCCACACCCCCTTCCCCCACCCCCAAACAGGCACTGCGTCCTCAGTCCAATGAAAAATATTAGCCCAACGTTGGTCTCCTGGGGTTCCTCACAGCAAACAGCCTTTCAAGGTTACTGTTAGCTCCGCTGTAGAGAGATGAAGCCCAGAGGAGGAGAGAACTTACCCACTGCCACACAGCACCCCATCAGGGGAAGGAATGTGAACTCGGGTCTTCTCACCTGGGCTACCTCTCCGTGGGGACCCCCTCACCCTCTGCTCAGGGGACCAGCTGACCCTCTAGCTCTATGTGGGCAAGTGCAGGGGAAGAGCAGAAGCTCCAGTCTAGGTGTGGCACACGCATGGGTGAGCTGGGGGAAGCCTCGCAGATCAGTTTTATCCAGCTGCCTCCCTCTTGGCAAGTGAGGTGACTGGGGATGGGGGGGTCCTTTCCAAGTTACAGGAATGTCCTGTCTTCTCGTCACCAAGTCCTGCTCTCCAGGGCATTCTGGGGTCCTTAACCACACGGGTTTCATAGCTCCTACTTCTAAATAATATTCTGAGGCCTTGCATGCTGAGAGAAGATTCTTTTCATAAACTATCTTCCCGATTTACGCAATAATAATCCTTTTAAAGGTGGTAAAGGTGCTCTGATCAGAGTGTGTGTAGGATGATGTCTCAGAAATGGTGCCCACACCCTTGCTGGAGCAGGATGAGGGCAAGAGAGGTGAGAAGCTGTCATTCTGCCCCTGGGCAAGCCAGGCGAGGTGCCCCCAGCTGCTCTGTGAGGGGATGCTCTCCTGGGGGCCCCTGCCCCTTCATGGAGCGCTCAGCACAGGCAGAGACTTTCCATAGACACTGATTCTCTCAGCTACTACAGCTCTCCCAGCCACAGCCCTTACTCAGAGCACAGGCTATTGGCCCCATCTTTCAGATGGGGAAATGGAGGCTCAGAGACACAGTGCCACACAGACTTCTGATTCCAGGCCCTCAAAGGCGTAAGGCTGCCCGTATGGGAAAGCTGCTGGAGTGGTACCCACCTTCCTTCGTACCTGAGGTTCTCCATAGCCAAATCACTGAGCCCTCTCTGCCTCAATATCTTTACCTGTAAAATGGGGATAAAAGCTGGAACTCTTCTTTAAAGGTTAATACTAAAACCAAAATTCAATCTCATGTTTAAGAGCATCTATGTTGTGCCTAGTATCGCACTCCATGCTAGAAATGGGAATGAATAACGCAGGTCTCCACACTCGAGAAGCTCACTCAGGGTTCAAAGAAGACCTTTGAAAAGAGAAGGAGCTGTTTTATATGTCCTGGTAGCTAACTCTCCCCTCGGATGCTCAGACTTTTCTCCCCAGAAAGAAAGGCTCCGGACCCGGAGACCCCACTACTGCTGTGGCCAGCCATGGGATAGTGGCTGGAATGTTCAGACGGTAGGGCAGAACTCCCAAGGAGCGGCACTGGCCTCCCAGAATGCTGAAGGAGAGCGTCTGGTCATCTCTCCAGCTGACAGGCTCTCAGGCCAGGGCAACTGACCATCGTGGAGCTGTGGCCTACCACCCCCAACCCCGGACTGCGTGACCACGCATTCCACTATCAGGTCAGAACTCCAAAATTACTCAATCAGGAAGCCCAAACCACCACTGTACTAGGCTATTCTGGGGGGACCCTGCAAGAAGGGCAGGGATTGGGGGTAAGGAGAAAGACACTTGGAGGCAGGCTGCCAGAGAAAATACAGGATGACCATTTAAATTTGAATTTCAGAGAAACAGCTAATATTTTTTAGTGTAAGTATCCCCCACCTGAGCTAGGCAGAATTTGTCTTTTGAGGAACCATCCTTGGAAATCTCCACGTCTCCTTCCCCGACACCCCTGCTTGTACGCCTCTCCTTCCCACCTCCTCCCCGTCTTCAATCCCCCCACTCCGTCTGATTTCATCTTCTGGCCTCTCTCAACGCCTCCCCTGGCCAGCACACCATCACACCCTGTGCCCCACTCCTGTGCTAATCAAATGGGGTCCCCTCAGACCTGCTGTGTGACCCTGGCCTGGAAGCCTCAGCTCCTTGGGCCTAATTCTTCCTCTGTAGCACCAAGGGGTTGGGTTAGAGTCCAGGTGGGCAAACCAGCTCTGAGAAACAAACTCCTTAGGGACTGTCAGTGAGTCAGCTGCCCTGTACTCTTGACTTAACCAGGGGACCCTCCCCCTCTGCTTTCTCTGCTTGACACCCTGGGGTTCTATTTAAGATCGCCTGGGAAGAAGGGCTTCTGCTACTTAGGGAAAACATTCTAAATAGCCCTGAGGTCCCTTTCTGCTCAGACACTGGGATTCAATATTCCAGCTTGAACTGAGGGCCCCAACGGGCTCAGGGGAGGTGTCACAGCGCGTCCCATTAGAGGCCTACTGCGGGTAATGCTGTAGTGCGGAGTTTCCAGTCTGCGCCCCATAGCCCTGCGTTTCCTGGGAGGGCCCCCAGGGGTCCCACAAATGCTTTATTGGAAAAAACAATCCGAGACTGTAACCCCCCTTTTCAAAAGGCTAAGCATATCCAGACACTCCTCCTCATTCATCCTACTGTTAGCTGTTTCTCTGAAATTCAAATTTAAATGGTCACTCTGTATTTTCTCTGGCAGCCTGCCTCTAGTATTTTTCTCAGGAACAGTTTACAATAAACAAATGTTATAAATGTAAACTTTAAGGAAAGAGGAAGGAGGGGTGCCTGGGGGGCTCAGTTGGTTGGGCCTCTGACTCTTGATTTCAGCTCAGGTCATGATCTCGGGGTCCTGGGATCGAGCCTCTAATCAGGCTCTGTGCTCAGCAGGGAGTCTGTTTCTCCCTCTGCCTTTCCCCCTGCTTGTTCGTTCTCTCTCTCTCAAATAAATAAAATCTTAAAAAAGAAAAAAAGAGGAAGGAAAACTGAACATGCATTGAGTGTCTACTGTAGATCAGATACTAGGATAAATTTTTTACATCTGTTATTTCTTTAATGCTCACAGTAATTTTCTGAGATAGGTATCTTTATGCCCATTTTACAGATGAGGAAACAGAAGCTCAGAGAGATTAGGTTATTGCTTCAAGGTTGCACAGGCAGTAACTAGCAGAGCTAGGGTTCAAACTTAGCTCTGATAACAGAGCATCCTTTCTTCCAGTATACCATGATATGGCTATTGAACGAGACAAGTTTTCTTGTGTGGTTCAAAAATGGGTCGGAAGCCAGTACCACTAGAGCATTTCTCTCAAGTGTTTTGTCCAGCTTTTTTGGAAAAGGACGAGTGACCATTTTGAAGAATAACACTTAATGGTTATAGACGTTCTGCTATGTTTTGTGTGTGTTTTTTTTTTTTAAGTCTCACCATGCCTCATATTTTAGGGCAAATCAGCCTCTCGGTTCTCTTAATTAAGCCACTCTCCCAACCCCAGTTGTCTGGAGTGGGCTGTGGAAGGATGTCTTTCTGGCACTTACACCATTTTGTCCCATGGGCTGAGTCATCCTGGTGGCACCTCCCCTCTGCCCTCAGATGATGGATCCTAGTCAGGCCTGGACCCACCACAGTGTAGGCATGTGTGTTGCGGGGGATCCAAGTGGGACACAGTAGGAGGAATGAGGAGGAGTGGTTCCTTACCCAAGTTGGGGTCATACTCGCTGATAAACCTCCTGGTCAGAAACTTCACGGTCAGAGCTGCAGGAAGCAGAAAGAAGTTGGCTCAGTCTCCCCCTGCCGCATCCGGCTGCTGGCCCTGGAGGTTGCCCCTCTCATTTTAGGGAGGTCTTATCTAGCCTCTGTGACTGCTGGCTGACACTAAGCTTAGTTCTCTGGAGGAATGAGTCTGGGAGCTGAGGAGTTGGTTTGAGAAGCTCAGCAAAAACCAGAAATATGGGGAACCATGCCCCTCCAGTTGCATCCTAGCATTTTTTTTTTTTTTTTTTTTACGGCAAGAAAAGCCATGAGAGGCAAGCCTAAGGGGTGTTTATAAAGACCTGAACTGGGGGCACGTGGGTGGCTCAGTCGGTTAAGTGTCTGCCTTCGGCTCAGGTCGTGATCTCGGGGTCCTGGGATCGAGCCCTCAGTCGGGCTCAGCAGGGAGTCTGCTTCTCCCTCTGCTCTTCCCCCTGCTTATGCTCTCTCTCATTCTCTCTCAAATAAATAAATACAATCTTAAAAAAAAAATACTCAAACTGAGGGGTCCAGGAGTCATGTTACCTTAGGGTCAGCCTGGTGAAACTCAAACTGAAGGGAGATATTCCCCACCCTGGTCAAGTCGTGAAGATTCTGAAATGCGGAGCATCTATTCCGGTTTTGGCTATAAGCCAAAGAGTAAGAGCTGAGTTGATCAGTCTGTGATCCCCGGGAGGAGTATGAACACTCACGTCCCAAGTAAACACCCTCCAGTCCTTGGCCCCCTTTGTCTCAAGTCTTGACTGTCTTGGGCCTCAGGGGTGTCCCGAAGAATGTAAAACCTAAAATGAAGTTCTCCCCAGGTGGAATTCATTAATAGGACTCTGATTTTGTTCAGAATTTAGCCACATAAAGCCCAGGGCCAGCCAACTATTATGCTGGACTCTTAAAAAGTAATGTGATATTTTAAAGAAAATCCTTAAAATTCTTTCCCAGGGTTCCTAACAGTGTCATTTTGCAAACTACTACCCAGGGAATACATACTTTAAAATTTAAATTCCTCCATTCATGTAGTCACTGGCTAAACTGTACCAGTGACAGAGCTACAGACACAATTTGATTTTCAAAGGGAAGAGGGCAAATCTTTTCTGTAGGAAAACATGATTCAGAGTCCCCTCTCTGAGTCAAGGGGCTGGTTTCAGAAGTGGAGAGTAGGATCCCAGCGAGTCTCAAAGAATACTCGGGGGGAGGAAACTCATAGCTAACAGCCCATGTTGGCCAGTCACTAATGGCAGTAACTGTAACACAGCCAGCCGAGGAGCCCCCTCTGCCCTCCTACCTGCAGCCCCCTGAGACTGTGAGTGGCCGGGGGCAGGGGTGAACCCTTTCTCTGGGTCTCTGCCTGTGGTGACATCCTCCGCCCTACCCACCTGGGCTCCACCTGGGTGAGAGCTGCCAGGAGTGGTTAAGGCAGAGTTCAGAGTTGGCAGAAAGGATCTCAGTGGCAACCCAAGATCTTGGTTCATCAAGAACAAGTCCCAGGCACCTGGGACCATAGTCCAGTGTGTTTCCAGAAAGTCACCAGAGGGGTCTGACTTGAAACAAATAGGTTTGATAAGAATGCACACTTTGTTCTTTCCCGGGAATTGGGGTGAGCCCCTCCCTGGAAAATCCCAATAGTCCAGTGACCTCTACCACCTCCCTTCATCCCCAGCCTAAACCGAGGAATAACAAGGCTGTGACTAAGCTCAAAGGGGCCTGGGCTGAAGATTAGTGCCTAACAGGTCCCTTTGGTGCTAGTCACCAGAGCTGACTGCTGGCCCCAGGGAGAGGAGATGGAAGGTGCTGAACAGCAAGGGAGAGATCAGCAGAGGACCAGGAGACATAGAGACAGGCAGAGAGGAGAGATACCTAGTGTCATAGACACAGAAGGAAAGACAGGCGAGGAATCCAAGACAGATGAGATGGAGGAGCTGAGGACAAACTAGAGAGAGAGCCAAGAAACAGAGAAAATGAGGCAAAGAAGAAAATCACGCTGTCTGACCCAACCCACCTGGGTGCAGGAAGCCCCCAAAGTCAGTGGGGGAGCCTGCCTGCAAGCAAGTCCACAGGGTCCACACCCGCTCTGTCTCTCGGGTCCCCGCCCAACCCCTTCCCTTCCGCCCCCCACTCAACTCACCGGACTTGCCGGCCCCGCGACGCCCCAGGATGGCCAGATTAACTTCGAGGGGCGCGCTCTGCGGCCCGCTGCCCGCGCGGGGTTTCCCGAACACCAAGGACATGGCGACGCTGCTGAGAGGGACACCGGTCCTTGGGAGAAGGGCCCTGGGCAGCGTGCCCGCCCGTCGGGGCCCTGCCGAACGAGCCGTGGGCTCCCCCCGCGCTCGCGGGCTCGGCCCCGTCGATGTCCGCGCCCGGGGCCCGGCGTCGAGCGCCAAGCGGGCTGCGTTCCCGCGGCCCGGCCCAGCCCTGCGGGGAGGAGGAGCCGGTGGAGGCGGGCGGGCGGGGCCGCCCCGAGAGCCGCCACACTCCTTGTAAGGGCTGCGGGAGCCCCCCGCGGGGCCCGCTCACCCCGCTCCCCACGCTGGGAGGGAGCTCCGGGCTGGCCGCGCACCCCACAGCTGGGCGCCGCCTCGAGGGCCGGACGCTGTCACCGCGCTGTCACCGCCCGGAGCGCCCCCGGAACCTGCAGGGAAGGACAAGGACGGGGGGGAGGGAGGCCCGGGGTAGGGGACTAGAGGGGAAGGATGTTTCCAGCCTTGTCTGAGCCTCCGCTCAATCTCTTCGCACCTGCAAGAAAATCCAATCCTTCCTTTGTTCTACCAAGCAGGCCCTGCCTCCTCCTCCGGGAAGCCTGCCTGCATCAACTCCCAGGCTTCTCCTTTCTCTAGGTCACAGTCACAGCCAGCTCAGCCTTGGCACACAACTTCCCCCACCATATTACCCTGCCCTTCGGTATGGGGACTCTCAGGCATCATTGCAACCCCCAGGGAGCCCTGGCTCCTGGGAAGGAGCCTTCACCAACATTTCACCGTCAGTATGGGTCCAGCTTCAAGAAACTTAACCCATCTTGGATTACTGTTTTCTCCCTGATGGGAACTAATGGGTTGCATGTGTTTGGAGCCTAGTGTGTAAATGGGGTATTTTATTCTAAACCCTGGCATTCTCTCTTGCCTATAATGATTCTAAGATTGGTGGATGAGCCTGGGAGGGGTCACCTGTCATTTCTTTTGGGACCCAGGGTAAATCTGGTCATGATGGACACAGCAAAGGGCCCATGTGGGAAACGTGGACACTTAGGATCTAGTCCCAGCTCTTTCACGAGGTCACCCTGGGCGAGTCACCTCACTTCTTTGAGCATTGGTGTCCCCATCTATAGCACTAAAGGAAGGGAAAAATAAATCCAACTTTCCATGACGTGATTCAGGCCTAATAGAGAGTGACAGCATCAAGTCTGAGTACTTTCTAGAACCCAGTGGAGCCTCTCTTTTGAAATATACTCCAGGGCTAGAGTGGGGTAGGGCATGGGAGTCTCAGAGACCTCTCACTTCAGCCCTTCTCCCTCCAACACCCCCCAACTCCCCCTCCTTGCCCCAGTTAATCTACCCACCCACGTGAAAAAGAAACCATGGAAAGCCAGATCAACAAGCAGAGAGTGTGGGGGTCAGAGCCTGATGATACTAACTTCTCAACCAGGAAGGAAAATTATTTTCCGGGATAGGACGTGAATACTGACTCAGCCTAATTGTATTTGTAGGAGATAATGCTAAACCAGCTGTGTTATTAAGACTGTAAAGTGTTGGGAAAACTTTGTTTAGATTACACCCTCAGGCCAGAATCACTCACAGAGCTAATGCCCAAGGGTTTTCCTTTGAGTTGTAGGTGGGAAAAAAGTGGGAGTCAAGTTCCAGCCACCTTCGTGGGCTGGCCCCAGTCTTGTGAGGACAGACTGGTTCTGAATGGGGTTTATCGGGAGAGGACCAATCTCATCAGAGAATTCCTGGAGAGAGGGTAAACTGTGGAGCTCCATAGGCCCAACTGGGTATAAACTTGGGCTCTGTTATGGCCCTGCTTGTGTGAGGCTTTAAAACTTTAAAACTCAGACCAGGGGCGCCTGGGTGGCTCAGTCGTTAAGCGTCTGCCTTCAGCTCAGGTCATGATCCCAGGGTCCTGGGATCGAGCCCCGCATCGGGCTCCCTGTTCCGCAGGAAGCCTGCTTCTCCTACTCCCCCTGCTTATATTCCCTTTCTCACTGTCTCTCTGTCAAATAAATAAATAAAAATCTTTTAAAAAAAAAAAACAAAACTCAGACCAACCAGTAGATGGGCACTGCAAGGAGGTAGGTTTGAACTTGGTGTGAACCATCTGAGCTGTCCCTAGTTACAAGGGACTGTTTTAGAGGAAGTGAGCCTCCCAACATTGAAGGCAACCAAGGGGGTGACCACTTCAAGGAGGTGTTGTAAGGAAACTCCATCATGACTTGCAGGAAGGGATGATGTGACCCTTAACTCTCGTCTAGGTCAGAGATTTAAACTAGTTGCCAGCTGGTTACTCAGGCCCTCAGCCTTGACGGCTAAGTGTCCAACGTCTGCCCCTCCTGTGAGGCTTGGGAGGAAAACAGTGCCAACCTCACAACTGCAACCAGTCCCTTTCCCCATCCTCAGTCTCCTCATCTGGGCTGCCTGTCCACCCGGAAGTGCCCATTGTGGACCCGAAAGACCTTTGCAATCAGCCACTTATTGTCAGACCATGGAATCAGCTACTTTGCTCTTCTGGGCCTCAGTTCCTCATCTTTAAAATAGGGATAACATTAAGGGTTAGAAGAGAAGATATGAAAGTGTCCCACCCAGAGTTTGGTCCGTGGCCCAAAAAAGCAAAAGATAGTTTCCTCCACTCCCCCTGGACGTGAACAGCACATACTTCTCACTCATCTACCAAGAAGCTGCAATTGTTTAGCAACCAGTAGTTTGGACACTGAAGGTCAACAGAGAGGTCATTCTGCAAGGGCAAGTAGGCCAACCCTCCTTATCTCCTACCCCCAATCTTCAAGGCTCTTATAAGGGGCTCTGAGGTACTCAAAATGAAGAGGATGTGGCACCTGGCCCAGCAGTGAACTAGCAGCAGGTGTTCAGTAGATGTGTCTGAAGTCGATGAGTGGGGTATGCACAGGTCTAAAGAGGTAGGGCCTGTGAAGATTTCCAGATGCCAGATCCTACGCTTGCCACCCCCCCGCGCCAGAGCCACTTCCACATAAAGCTAAGCTTTTGGGAGCCCTTTGTGATAACGTCACTGCATTCCCTGGAGGCACAATATGACAAACACTTCTGTGGCTGTTCAGTGATAAATTCAGGTTTCAAAGCTGAACAGAACCTTAGGAGTCAGATGCAAGCTCCACTTTACAGATGAAGAACTGAGGTCTGGAGAGGTTGGGTAGCTTTTGCAAGTCAGCGGTAGTACCAGCATTAGAGCCCAGCAGGAATCCTGACTCCTAGTCCAGTGTTCTTCCTTGGGCCCAGGCAAGCTCACTATGCTGTGTGCAGAAACACTATCGTGGGTGGCAAGGCCAGGGGTCCACCACCAGGCTCAGGGCATCTCGGGGCTATGTCTCCTTTATCAGACTGTAGGCTCTTTTGGGATAGGGGTTGTGTCTCCTTCATCACACTGGGGACTCCCACTTAGAGCCCAGGAGTCCACTTAACAGACCCCTTACTGTGTGCCAATCACTGTGGATAGAGAGACGAACAAAGCTGGGTATGCACTCTAGAAAGGCTCAGAGTCTGACACAGACACGGTTCCACTTTCCTTGCTCCCACCCTGAACCTCGCAAGGTATGGGGGCGCAAAGTGGAGAGAGGGAGGTTGGTGTGAGGTCGGGCAGAGCCTGGGAACTCCATGGGCTGCCCACAGCCAGCATAGTTCCTTGTTCTCTCCAAGTCCCAGAGGGACGCTCACTGTCTGGGTAGAGGAAACTCTCACCAGCTGCAGACGACACCCCACCGGGTCCTTGGGAGCAGGGCCAAAGGGCTGGTCCTCATCCCAGCCTTAGAACAACAAACCCCCACCTTGGGTGGCCCCCTCCCCAGTGCCTGGCTGCTGAGGGTCGGAGCTGGGGGTGTGCATAGTGTCCCAACCCACTGAAGCCAGGGCTGGACTTGTGAAAAATTGGCACTGGGAGCCAGCTTTAGCTGGGAAGAGTTGCTCTCCTTCCACTCCTCTCAGGAGAAGGCCAGGCAGTGGTTCTATCTGTTGTGTCTGCCAGTTACCAGGTGCCTGGAACAGACAATTTGGGAGGAAATTGTTCCCCTGGGGGTCAGCCCTTCCCCAACCCTGTTCCTTGGCTTGGGCCTGGCAGGAGGCAGCTGTTTCCCTGCCCTAAGGAAAGGCTAGTACTGGGCTGGGCAGCAGACGTGGTTCAATTCAGTCCCACATCTTTGTTCATAACAAGGAAAAGCCCATGCCCTCTGTGGGCCTCCTTTTCCTCACCTGTGAAATGGGAATAGTCAGACACCTTCTCCCTATCCCTGGGGCCACCAGCAAGGACAGAATCAGGACTGGGCACCACAGAGTCCACTGACCTCCAAGACAGGGACTGTCATGCTTTCGGCCAATGTCTGGCCTCAGGGAAGGAGAGAGTCTGGCAGAGGGCCTGGGATAGTATTTGTGAGGACTCCTGCCCACCCCCTCTATCTCCTCCTACTCTTCCTGTCTAGTCCCTGGGGCAGAGTGTCCCGGATATTTCTGGCTGCCTCCTCCAGGCCTTTGGCTTCCCAGGCTCATGCAAGTGGTCCCCATAACCCAGCCTTGCTTTGATGGAGTGAACTGGATGGGCGTTCCTGGCAGAGGAGGCACATTTGTGTTGCGTCTGCAGATTGATACACGAGGATCTGTGCATGTGTGTGTGTCCTAGGGGTGAAAGAAGTTCCCCTGCCCCCTCCCAACTCTGGCTCTGTCATTGGAAGCCACTGCATCCTCCTGAAGAAAGCCTGTAGTTGAACATGTCCTGAATGGCAGATACCATCCTACACAGGTCTGGGCCTCAGTTTCCCTGCCTGTACAATAAGGTGGCAGGAGAAAATAATCACTAAGCTCTCTTCCACCTGACATTTTGGAAACCAAAGTCTTAGCTGGTCACCCAGGAAAGTTCTTTGCAGTAGGGAAAATGCCCTGGGGTGGGCAGCAGGGGGCCTGGGGCTGTCTGCCCCAAGCTACATGACCCTGAGCAATTCCCTTTTTGGTCCTCCACTGTAAATGAAGGGGTTAAACCACACGAGCCTGAAGTTCCTTCCAGTTGTGACCTCCTGGCAAGAGCTGAATACCCAGCGTTTGTAGCACAGACAGGCAGCAGAGCACGGTGGTTAGGGCCACATGCTCTATAGTCAGACTGGCTGCAAGCCAGTCCGGGCTCTGCCGCTCTCTGACCATGTGACCTTGGGCGTGTGACTAAACTCTTGGTGCCTTCCTTAGTCTGTGCATCCATGAAATAGAAACTCATAGTTTCTGTAAGCAATACATGGGTAACTATGTAGTAAATGAAGCAAAATGATAGCATCTATTCATAGGATTATTGCAAGGACTGTAGGAGTCAAAGTGCTTACAAAAGTGTCTGACACACGGTGCAAGTTCAGTGTTAACTATTATTATTTCACGAAGCCCTTCCCCTTCTCATCTATAGACATACGATCCCCTCAGCAGCCCCACTTACCTTTTCCCAAGGTCCAGAAAACAGCAATGGATGGATGAGTGGGGAGCAGACATCAGCTTCCCATTCCCAAACCAAGTCAGGGAGTACTTCCACATTGAGAGGTTTATTGGACCTGCTACCCTCCCCATTTCTACAGAGAAGGAAATCAAGGCTGAAAAGGAGATTGAACTAGCTCAGAGTCAGGGGCAGAGGTTCAAGCTAAATGAGGACCTGTTCCACGGGGCGCCTGGGTGGCTCAGTTGGTTAAACCGCGGACTCTTGATTTTGGCTCCTGCAGGTCATGATCTCAGGGTCATGACATTGAGTCCCGCATTGGTCTCAGACCTCAGCGCCAGTCTGCTTGAGCTGCCATTCCCAAGCGCTCGCGTGCACTCTCTTTCTCCCTTAAATACATACATACATACATACATACATAAAATCTTTAGAACCTGCTCTAGACGTCAGCCTGGTCCACTCTATCTTGCTCTACCTCTCCCTCTAGTGCCCAAGTACCTCGGCCCCCCACCAATGAATGGGGTGGGCTAGGTATGAATCCTGTCCTTGCTTCTTCCCAGCTGAATGACCTTGCACAAGTCATGCAATTTCTCTAAGCCTCAATTCAAACACTTTATGGCTATTGTCCCAATACCATGAGAGAGGTGTTATTATTGGTCACATTCTGAGGAAACAAGGTCAGAGTTAGGGTACTTGTACAAGAACATACAGCCGCTTTAGTGCAGGTTAAATGGTGGAATCTTTGTAAGCAGCCCTCACAGTGCCCCGCATGCAGTAGGTACTCAATATGTATGTAGTCACTATTGTTACTATTTCCCATCGCAAGTGAGTGACCCTGCAGGTCTCCTGATGCCCGCGGGCTCACAGCCAACCAGCCTGCCGGCCACCACGTCACATGAGCCGTACTATCTTTAGCCAGGAAGATATTTATATCCCCCTGGAAGTTTTTTCCGTTCCAGGGGAGCCCCAGAGTCTGTGGCCGCTGAATCCAGGCCGCCGGCGGCGGCCCCCGCCCTTCCGGCTCGCCATGCCCCAGGCCCCAGAGGTCCCCCCGGTGCAGGTGTGGGTGGGCGGCCAGCTCTTCCAGGCGGACCGGGCCCTGCTGGTGGAGCACTGCGGCTTCTTCCGCGGTCTCTTCCGCTCCGGCATGCGAGAGACGCGCGCGGCCGAGGTGCGCCTGGGCGCGCTGAGCGCTGGCGGCTTCCACACCACGCTGCAGGTGCTGCGCGGCGAGCGGCCGGCGCTGGCGGCCGACGAAGAGCTGCTGCAGGCCGTGGAGTGCGCCGCCTTCCTGCAGGCGCCCGCGCTGGCGCGCTTCTTGGAGCACAGCCTCACGTCGGACAACTGCGCGCTGCTGTGCGACGCGGCCGCGGTCTTCGGCCTGCACGACGTGTTCCGCAGCGCCGCGCTCTTCATCCGCGACGGCGGGCACGCGCTGGCGGCCGAGCTGGCGCTGCCCGAGGCCCGCGCCTACGTGGCGGCGCTGCGGCCCAGCAGCTACGTGGCCGTGAGCACGCACACGCCGGCGCCCGGCTTCTTGGAGGACGCGTCGCGCACGGTGTGCTACCTGGACGAGGAGGAGGACGCGTGGCGCACGCTGGCCGCGCTGCCCCTGCAGGCCAGCACGCTGCTGGCGGGCGTGGCCACGCTGGGCAACAAGCTGTACATCGTGGGCGGCGTGCGGGGCGCCAGCAAGGAGGTGGTGGAGCTGGGCTTCTGCTATGACCCGGACGGCGGCACGTGGCGCGAATTCCCCAGCCCGCACCAGCCGCGCTATGACACGGCGCTGGCCGGCTTCGATGGCTGCCTGTATGCCATCGGCGGCGAGTTCCAGAGGACGCCCATGAGCTCTGTGGAGCGCTACGACCCGGCCGCGGGCTGCTGGAGCTTCGTGGCCGACCTGCCGCAGCCGGCCGCGGGCGTGCCCTGTGCCCAGGCGCGTGGGCGCCTCTTCGTGTGTCTATGGCGGCCGGCAGACACCACGGCTGTGGTGGAGTACGCTGTGCGGGCGGACACGTGGCTGCCGGTGGCCGAGCTGCGGCGTCCGCAGAGCTACGGCCACTGCATGGTGGCCCACCGCGACAGCCTCTACGTGGTGCGCAACGGACCTAAAGACGACTTTCTGCACTGCGCCATCGACTGCCTCAACCTGGCCACGGGCCAGTGGACGGCACTGCCTGGCCAGTTTGTCAACAGCAAGGGAGCGCTCTTCACGGCGGTGGTGCGCGGCGACACAGTCTATACGGTCAACCGCATGTTTACGCTGCTCTATGCCATTGAGGGTGGCACCTGGAGGCTGCTCAGGGAGAAGGCCGGCTTCCCACGGCCCGGCTCCTTGCAGACCTTCCTCCTTAGGCTGCCTCCTGGCGCCCCGGGGCCTGTGGCCTCAACGACACCAGAACTGTGATCCTGGGCTGGCCTTTAGGAGAGGGTCTATCCCGGAGTCTTCGCTGAGCCGTGGCTGGGTCTATAAGGCTGGCCTTCGGAGCTGCATGGAACTTCTGTCTCCCGGGTTGAGACATGCAGGTCTTGGGCCTTGTGGTGATCAGTCCAAGAAATCAGAGAGTAATAACGAGGCTGGGGTCTGAACCCTCAAATTACTTGGGCTCTGCTGAGAGGTGGTGGGTCACAATGCCAGTGGAATGTGTCGGGGGTAGGATTTCAATAATCCAGGCTTGTGTGTGAATGGGCCAATAATTGAGCATGGCTAGGAGGGAGTTAAGTGATGTTAATCCAACTGCCAGTCAGTTGGCAAGAATTAGGCACCTACTGTGTGCCCAGTACAGTGCTAGGCCTAATGTAGCTGTAGTTGCTAGAGGAGTCCAGAAAGCCTAGAGTCTAGCCCAAGACAATTAAAGGTTTACACGCACTTGTCTTGATCCACTGAGGGCTAAAGGCAACATGCAAAACAAAAAACTCACAATGGAATAAAACAGTATCGAAGAAATCAGAGCAAAAGGAAAATAGGGAGAGGAAAAAATACATAACTCCAGGAAGGAGGATAGATAATATACCAGGGGTATGAAGAAGACAGGCAGGGTAATTAGCTGCTGCAGGGGAGGTTCAGACGGTGGAGACAGAGCTCAGAAGAGGAGATGCGGGAAAGCTGGAACAGATGGGAAGAGGCTCTGCGAGCCCAACCTTTAAGGCAGAACAGCTCTGGATGGAGGCATTTGGCGGGGTGGGGAGGCTGGCATGGCTTGTAGAGACAATAACTGAGCTGAATCTGGAATGACACCTGTAAGAGAGAAAGGACTCTCCACACCCCCTCACAGGATGCGGACCGGTAAGGAAGAAAGTTGCAAGCCCTTGCCCACTCCCTTTTTGGCCATCACCCTGCGGGTGGTGGATTATTAACTTCCATGACTTGAGGTCACTCGAGGCAGGAGCCCAATCCTGGCCAGGTCTAACTGCCTCCTTCTCCTCATTCTGCAGGTGAATTCTCTCCTCCAAGCCTCTGCTGCTGCCATTCTCTGGGCCTGGAATGCCATTCCTCTCCCCCCCCCCCCCGTTGGCTCTGTACCCACCTCTGTGCAGGGATTGGCTGTTCCCGACCTTGGCGGTCTGCATTGCTCATTGGGCCCCTGACATCGTTTAGCATATGTGTGAAACTGTGCACGTGTGTAGATAGCAAGGGCAGAGATCCTGCTTTGCTATCAACTGACCTGGGCACTTCCCCACCTACAGAATCAAATGAGGAGGTCCTGAAACAAGCCAGGCCGTAGAGGCTGTCCTACTTAGGGACCTGGTGTAAGAGGAGGACTCTTGTCCCTCCTTTAGAATACTCTATCCTGATTTCTGGTCATGTGCCTACCCTAGTCCTTCAGCTTCTCCATGCCCTGAGTGTCCCAGATGGTTTCCATCCTCCAAGACCTGAGGCCCGTGGGAAATCCTAGCCTCATCAGAATTATAGAAATGCAGCCTCAGCACGGAACCTAGTGTCAGGGCTGCTCCTAGCTGCCTTTTGCCCTGACCTATGTCCCAAGCCCTGCAGACTGCTGCCCTCAGAAACCCAGCATCTGCTAGCCCTGGAGTAGCCTAAATCACAGCAATAAATCCTGACTTTGGCATCCTGTGAATAATGTGCAAAGTACTTTCACATCCGTCTTCCCGCTCCAGCCCTACCTCAGTCCTGATAGTTCGGTACCTTCTCTCCATGGCAGACATGTGAGATACGTGAGGCCCAGAGGCCAACTGATGTACCCAAAGCCACCGTCCCCATGCCAAAACTGTTACAGTAGAGTCCCTCACTTTTTGATTCCGTCAAAGTATAATTGTTATCACATGTCAAAGGTTTATTTAATTCGTTAACAAAGGAACCAGAAGAATGGAAAGCTGGTTCAGAGGAACATTTGAGAGACAGAGATTTGTGTCTTTAGTTGGAAAAGACCTACTGGAATAAGTTTGCTAAGATAAGAGGTGAAGCTGGTTAATTTACAGGACAATAAAACCATAACTTTTGTGGTTCTGTACTGGACTAGAAACCTTTGCATCTTCACATCCAGGCACATACCTATTTATACACACAGCTACAAGTGAGCATGTAGCTTCACAAAGGACACAAGTCAATAGTAAATTGTAAAATAGATATTTAATTTTTCCCGAGAGAATGAAATAACTCTTAGCTGTTCCACCTTGCCCCACAACGACATTGAAAAGACATGCAGTCCTTCCGCCTATGCCCGAGTTATGGATAGTTTTTTTCTTTTTTTTTTTTAAAGATTTTATTTATTTATTTGACAGAGAGAGACACAGCGAGAGAGGGAACACAAGCAGGGGGAGTGGGAGAGGGAGAAGCAGCCTCCCCCTGAGCAGGGAGCCCGATGTGGGATCGATCCCAGGACCCTGGGATCACGACCCGAGCCGAAGGCAGACGCTTAACGACTGAGCCACCCAGGCGCCCCTGGATAATTTTTCTTAACAGTTCAGAGCACTCTCTTCCTTGCTCACTCCTCCTGCCTAGTGCTCAACCCTGAGATTTGCAATTTGAAATTCATCAGCTCATCTGTTCTCATAACCCACAGAGCTTTGTGCATGTCAGCTCTTGCAGCTGGCTGTGTGGACCTGCCCAGACAGGGCCTGCTGGCTGCTGCGGTGGTGATATTCCTCGGTCCAGAGCAGCCTTTGCCGAGATGTCTTTTGTGCATAATAATAACACTATTCACGGTGAGTTTTCCCACAGTTGACTTATTTAAGCTCTGTAAGAATTTTAAGTGGTAGGCAGGCTGGCAAAACCCCTACCCTTGAAGATTAAAAAAACCCAAACTCCCGAAGGTCACGTGATGGTAAGAGGCACAAGTAGGAAGTAGCAGAGCCCCAGCCTTGAACCCAGGGTCACATGCTTGTTTTCTGGGGCTGCCTTCCTGCTTCGCTAACATTCAGAGATGGACAGGGTGTTTCTGCCAGTCTCCTTAACACTCCCCTCCCTGTTACTCTTCTCTCTGCACCACCTATTCTTGGGGTTCACCTGTTCCCCTAAACCCAGCCCTTTCCCTCCCCCTTTGATAGGAAAATTAGTTGTCCTGGGTTCTCTTGACTTAGGATCTAGCTGGGATTCTAATGGCTAGCTTCCTGAGGGTGCTAATGACTTATGAAGGCCCTGAGGAGGGTTTGCACTTTCACAGACTTCCCTCCCTCTCTTGAAGTGTGGGGGAGGTTTTCATAATACAGCCTACCTTCTCTGGTCTCACATGTCAGGCTCCGTGGTTCCTCCCACAGCCCACCATCCTCGGCAAGGGTGGTCACCATGTCTTTTTGCAGGTGAGGAAACTAGCAGAAAGCTGAAACGAGTCACCCAAAGTCACATAGCCAGTCAAGTGGAAGAGCAAGGACCTGGAACCAGGATTTGGGATTCTCAGCCTCTCATACCCTGGCACCTAGACTTGACCACTGAGTGGAGGTGCGGTTTGGGAGGCCAAACCAGGTACGAGGCAGGGGCGGGGGGGCAAATATACAGAGACACTTAAGGGTTACTAAACGGAAGGGTTTAAAAATCTCTCCATCCCAGCCCAACGCAGCAAGGAACATTCTTCTGAGCCTCCATGGTAGCCCTGCAGCCCAACTCTCTGGAGCTCTTTCCAGCGCCCCACACAATTTCTCCTTGACCCCGACTCTGGAAGCCTTGCACCCCAAGCTTTCTTATCCCTGGAAATTATCCTGTTGTGGTTATATAGCCTGCCTGACAGAGGCAGAAGGAGAAGCCAGAACTTCCCACACTCCACCCAGGGCCTGCTTCCCTGCTTGCTTCCCTTTAGTCTGCTCATGCGGCAGCCAGAGCCATCCTAATGAAATGCCAGCCAGACCTCATTCCTTCTCCATTCAGAGCCTTGGTGGTTCCTCATTTCACTTGAGTGAAAGCCCAAGTCCTTTCAAGATCCCCTGCCCCGTTTCCTCCCTCAGTTCATCTCTTACCACTCTCCCCCTGGCCTCATTGCTGTTCTTCAGACACACCAAGCACACTCCAACCTCAGGACCTTTGCACAGGTACCTGTGCCAGGCACACCTCCCTCACTTAGCCCCCTGGCTGACTCCTACATGCCTTTGCTCAGATGTCACTTTCATTCTGAGGAGTTTCCTGACCCCCCCCTTAAAATCTACCTTCCCCTTCTTTGCAGTTCCTACTCCCTTATTTTCCTCCATAGGTTCTAGCATCATCTACCATGCTATCCTTCTTTAGTGTCTATTTCCTCCTACTAAAACTTGAGCTTCACAAAGGCAGAAATTTTTGTCTGTTTACCAGGACCCAGAACAGTGACTGGAACATAGTAGGGGCTTAATTATTTATTTTTCAAAAAGATTTTACTTTTGGGGGGCGCCTGGGTGGCTCAGTCGTTAAGCGTCTGCCTTCGGCTCAGGTCATGATCCCAGGGTCCTGGGATCGAGCCCCACATCGGGCTCCTTGCTCGGCGGGAAGCCTGCTTCTCCCTCTCCCACTCTCCCTGCTTGTGTTCCTTCTCTCACTGTGTCTCTCTCTGTCAAATAAATAAATAAAATCTTTAAAAAAAAAAAAAGATTTTACTTTTTGACACAGAGAGAGGGAGAGAGCACAAGCAGGGTGCAGTGGCAGGCAGAGGGCTCCCTGCTCCCTGCTGAGCAGGGAGCCCAATGAGGTGGGGCTCCATCCCAGGACCCTGGGATCGTGACCTGAGCCGAAGGCAGATGCTTACCGACTGAGCCACCCAGGTGTCCTGAGGCTTAATTATTTAATGAATGAATGGTGCTCAATGATGTCAAAAGAATGAATGAATGAATGATCTATCAGAGGAAAAGTTCATTGAGGCTGTCAGATTTCAGAGGAAAGGGGTATCATTTTGGGCAGGGGGTGGGGCTGGGCAGGTGATCAGGGAAGACTTTCAGGAGGAGGTAATGAGCTCCGGGGGTCCATAGTACTTCCAGGGAAGAGTAGGA